GACATAACTGAAGTTGGCGCAAAAAACGTTGCGCTAACGCGATGCCAGCGCGGCGCTGCGCTCTTTTAAACGATGTCCGGCTTGCCCGGCTTTTTAATATTTGACCAACTTTTATAGTGTTATTTAATTTTGACTACGATTGATAACCATTGCAAAATAGATGATTAATAATAAAAAAGACTGATTTATTCCATTTTATTGTTATTTTCATATGGATTTTTTGAAATAAATGATCAAAAAATCCCGGTTTTACATTTAACACAATACCGTATTAAAACTACGACACAAAATCCTTAAAAATGTCGATTAGCTATAAAAGGATATTGAACAATAAAATTCTATTCATTTCTATAGACAACTCACAGTCGACCAAAAAATTTACTATGCCAAAAATGTTTTCACAAAAAAAAGGTTGATGGCTCCTAGGACAATTTCCCTGTATCTTCTATGGTTTCGGATTTCTCCATACTGTTCCAGTTAAAAATAACACACTGTATATTCTCGTTTATAAATGGATAAGTAAGTGTAGTTTATAATTGAGTAAGTATTATGTTTAAATAAAAATAATCTCATCATTCGCAAATATCCATTCAATTGTGTTTGTTATACACAACTACAGTTCCTTACATTTTTTGTTTTCCCGATATATGTGAACGGCTACACATCGCATGGTTAAATGCTCCTGGGTTGACTGGCCAACCGCAGATGACAGCTTTAAGAACAGCTCCCGTATCGTCGACATGACTGTGTTTTGATTATCACCAATCAACTTCTTGGTTACAAGAGACGGGCACCATAACCTGTGCAAGCACAGGTACCTTCTAAGTTCAGGTCACTACACTGGATCAGCCAGTGTACAGGGTTATCTTATCACAGACCATAATCCCTGGCTTCATCCGATTCTCAAGAGGCTAGTGCCTCAAGTGAGCCGCCCCGGAAGCACTTACCCTATATTTTCCAGAGAGGTACCGGAGTTGTAGGCACGCTCACTTCCCGTCGTGCATTGCGCAACTAACGGTTGCCATCGCTAAGCCGTTGACTCGAAGTCCCTACCAAATCTCCTCTTCGGTGGCGAATCTGTAGGTACGCTCATCTCCCGACGCCGAAGCGTCTCTCCAGTTCCCAGAAACTTACTTGACTGGAGTTACCGGAGTCGCAGTGTCCTGTGACAATGTCCGGACATAGCTACCACCTTAAAGGGCAACACACGTGTTGCGCACATCTCCTCGTAGACTGCTACTAAACTAAGATACGCTAGCTTGGTCTTACCGGGGAGCACGTAGTCTCCCCGAACTCCCTATCTCTCGGGTCAGTAGATAGGGATAGCTTTAAGAACAGACATATTGATACACACCACCTGCCACAAAACAGGATCACGTAAAGACAATTTTGCGACAGAATGGATATGGTATAAAAACATGCAAACCAATACTCAAAAGGAAGAAGCGAAAAAGCTACAGAGGCAAACAGCTTTTTTGTCCGATGTACAGGGAGTAACGAATATAGAAAAGCTGTTGAGTTCGCCAAAAGACCACCTTCCTTTCCAAACACTGTATGTCTACAAAGTAAACTGCAGTTGTGGTATCTAGTATATCAGTCAGACCAAACGGACAACGTAAAAAACAATAATGCACATAGTCACAAGTCAATAGCACATCTTATACAGAATGACACTAACCACTGGATCGAGTTGCAAAGGCCCAAGTGCTTGTCGACGAAACGTTTGGCACGACAAACCATCGAAATCACAAAGTACTAAACGTTTAACCGTGAAGATGGATTTAAATTATCCAGTGCCTGGAATCCGGTGCTTAATGTTAACAATAATGAAAACAAAAATGCTTCGGCTTTAGTTTCGCGTGTGGATACAGTGAGTGGTTTGTCGGAAAAAGTGAGTGAAGATTTGTAACGCCACAAGTAATCGTGATAAAAGGTAGTCGTCGACAGCGAAAGAGAGTAGACAGATATATGTTTTTAAAGCCGTAATCTGCCGTCGGTCAGTCAACCCGTGACCATGGAGCGTGTAACCGTTCCGAAATATTGGGAAACAAAAAGAACTCATAGCGTGAAACTCAAACATGTTATTAGTGATAATCACCTACGAAAGACCTTGAAATTTATAAGATGATCCATTCAGTATTTTTCTTGTTTTTTTCAACTGCACAATTTTGAGTTACGGCAAGTTTCATGTGCGATCATAGGAATGGTATGGAAATTTTAAAAACGGAATTCTTCTTGTTTTTATTTTTTGGTGGTGCCCTTGTAGGATTTCGCTGCCACAGCGTTTTTAACCGACTTCCAAAAAAAGGAGGGGGTTCTCAATTCGACTTTTTCTTTGTATGTATGTTACACGATAATTCCGGTATTTGTGAACCGATTTTCATGATTCTTTTTTTGTTGGAAAGAGGGTACCTCCATAGTGGTCCTATTTAATTTTGAAGAAAATCATCCACTCTCAGTGGGCTCAGAGGCTGCTCACGCATGAAGATTCATTTTTATAAATAGCGCCTAAATTTTTTTACAAGGAGCAATTATTTTAATGGTTGATTTTGCTATTCTCCAATTCAAGGCGTTTTCTCTCTCAATATACTTCGAGTAGTGAGAACCGATTTTTACACAGACCACATAAACGGATTTTATTATCTCCTGTGTCTACTACTACTAACTAGGGATGAATGCGGGTTTGCGCACTTTCCGGTAACCGATTTAAATAAAAATTGGTAATTATATATAATTCGACGTATTAATGAGGTCGTTACAGAGTACTGTATTGAGATTTTTTTTACTCACTTGGTTACAGTTAGATGTTAACTGTTAAAATTCCCAATCGAAAGGCAACCTACCTCCTTTAGTTTTGCAATATCGAAAATAATGATGCAAGCGCAGCCCGACTTATATTAGTTATTTGAACTGTGGCTTACTACATAATTTAGTTTTACTTTATTACTCCCTAGCTTGTGCTCGAGAAAATGTCGATAAAATTGGAATAAGCGTGCGCTATTAGCTGTCTCAATCAGATCTAATTTAGATAGCCAATAAAAAAAAAATATTTTAATTTTATCGCGCGTGTCGCGACTATCAGGCTGAGGTTTAATATTATACAGGGCGTTCAAAGGCTATGATGACACACGGTTGGTAAATAAATATATAAATAATAAATATATATAAAATCATTTTAGTACACAGAGGTATCTAAAAAAAAATATTTAGGCATTTCTATCATTAAATAAAATATGTATTGTTTGCATTTGAAAAGTTAAGAAACATACTTTTTAATTTTTTCCTAAAATAATATAATAAATATAACATACAATTAAATTTTCAGAGGTTATGGAGAGGTTTGTTTTAATTATAAGAATGCCATGTGGCAAATTAATGCAATAATAGATGTGTTTTAATATCAATACATGTACTGTATTTTCCAATGTCACAATGACTCGTAATGCTATAGAATAACGGACCAAATCCACCAGCACCACTAGATAAAGTTATTTGTGTTACATATGCGTAAACTATTTCCTAAATACTTGAGACATCTCGCGGAGATGACACAGTGTTATGACTACTGTACAGTAAAATTATGTAGCAATACAAATTAATTGGTAATATCGGTTAATAATGCTGCCGCCGTTAGTTGAAAGGTCGCTTGACAAAAACTGGTTTTGCTTCCTAGACACCAAGTCTAGTGATGTGACATGTTATGAATTTTAACCTTATATTAATTCAAGTTAAGGATAACATAACTCAACATAAACTGCAAATATGAATCCATACTTAAATGGAACATACAAATAACACATGGTTTCATTGACACTTTAAAGCGTCTATGGCTGTCAAAAGGTTCAAGGTTTTAAATTAAAAATAATCTACTTTTCTCTTGCGGTAATTTCATACCTTATCCACCTAGGAAAAAATAGTGACAGATTGGCTTTTTTTACTGATCATGGCAAAATACATAACAAATTTTTTGAAAAAAATTTCAACTAACTGCAGCAGAACAGTAGCATATTTGGTTGATATAACTCTGAAAGCATAATAAGCCACTGATCATAAATCTAACTATAGTAAAAATAATAATTGGCTTTTTAAGTTAGTTACAAACATCACTATAGTTTTTTCAAATTTATTCCTTAACCACTAAATTATTAAACTAATGAATTGTTGTAATATCAGCATTGGCAACTTAAGTACTCATAAAGAACTACTGTATCATGAGATAATAATTGCTGTACTGTTTTCCACATTTGTATTTTCATTTCTGGCTCAACTGATTTTGGTGTCCAACACTGATGAAATTAATTAATGTAACTAGAACAATATAAATATAATACTAATTTCTTTTAATAACCTATACTGCAATAACTACATTGATCCATGATTTATACAGACATATCGCACCTCCAGTGAAAGTGACTAACTTGCAAAAATGTACAGAAGAGTTAAAGTCTGCATTTGAAGATAAATACCTATTTTATTAAGAATCTTTTTTCTGTAGAGAACATTCTCTACAGAAAAATTAAGGAACGCATGAAATAGCGATGCAATGAACCTCTGCACCGGCTTCCGCAATTGCAGAACATCCATGCGCTTTTTCACATTTGATTCTGTTGCTGCTTGTGCAACTTTTATAATGGAACTTTAGTGCTTGGCAGTGCAGCGTGGGATCTTAGCAGTTTTGTGTAAATTATGAAACCAAATGCAAGCCCCATTTGGGACTGTTTCATTGAGATCTTTACAGTATTTACATGTCCACTTCCATTTCTGCTAAGATTTACTTTTTACATCTGTTTCCGTTATGACATTTCCATTGCATCCCTAGCATGAAGTACCTCCATTTGTGTATACATTTTATTGTTAAGTCATTTTCACATTTTTTGCAGTTAAGTCTGATTTCACCATAGGTGCAAAATATAATTGTCTTATTTTATATTGAAATAATGAATATAATAATAATGAATATAATAATAATAATAATTATAATAAAATTTAATTCTAAGAACTTGCAAGAGAAGTGCCATCAGCTGTTTTTAAAACTACAGCCCCGTGTCCATGCGACACATCTGTTATTGTCAATTTTGTACATGCAATTTCAATTACAATACATGGGTCATCTGTATGATGTAATTATGTAGCGAAACATCACCATCAACAAACATCATGATCCATTTAGAGAATCAAAATTGTTGAGGACACTTTCAAACTGTACTTTCTCCATGGTGGAAATAGTGTGACTTGCAGGTATGGCGTCCTTAGCTCTTTTAAGGAAAGGTTTCAAAAAGCTTCGAATCTTATTGTCGTTATTAACTCCAAAATCAAGTTCTGCTTTCTCCACTTGTTTTTCAAGGACATCCATATTTGATTGAAGTTTCTCAATAACCTTGTTAAGGGTATACACTTTTTTAGACAGTGTCGTAACCTCGGCACGGTATCTATTGATGTCTTCGGTGACAGCCTGACTGCAATCGCTGTTTTTTAACTTTATCATCTGCAATACACTAGCGAGTTCTTCAAGCCTTGTCAGCATGTTATCGATAACATCTTGGACAGTTTGAAATCCACTCGCAATATCCACTTTAAAATAGTCTGAATAGTCCTTTACTACTTCTTCCAACATTTTGCAATTTTTAAACACCAAAGTCCGGGTAGAGATACTCAAACAGACTGAGGAATTTATCAAACACTATCGTCACAACTTTTGACAATTCTCTTATAGAAGAGGGAAACAAGTGGTAAACTTTAACAATTAACTCCATTCTGAAATGGGACAAATAAGTTACACAAAAAATATGAACCGTACGTACTTTCCAACATGTTTTGTGGTTGAAATAAATATCAAGGCCAAATTAAAACCAGCTGTGGTTCTCCAAGTAAGACAGCAAAGCAATGAACGCAGTGACTACATTAAACAATTCTCATCGATGAACGCCACAATGAACGCAACCCAACCCATTGTGAAATAGCACAAGACTTTTTCTCTCTCGCGCTTAAGAAAAGGTTGTAAATACGAAAGAGAGAGAGAGAGAGCGAGCGCAATCAGAAGTTTTTTTCTTATTTTTTGGCACCATGGCATCCAGCCTTTAGCCATATGCAATTTCGATCGTATTCTAGAACTCTACTCAATGCTCAAGTCAGGATTTGAGCAGACTTGAGTGTGATTTCAAGCACTGGAAATACGACCCTAACGGCAAGGACTTGAGTATGATTTTCAGTGCTCACTGCAATACTCAAGTCCTGACTTGAGCATTGAGTAGAGTTCGGAATACGACCCTTAGAGGATACAAAAATAATTTCCATTTTGAAAGAATCATATTTTTCACAAAAATGAATATTTATTTCGAGTTCATTCAAATCAATTTAATTTTTGTAGGTTTTGGCTTCTGTCCCACTGTGGACAGTTTACGTACGGTAATACACGTCCGATTTCGTGTCTGATGATTGGATCCGACTATCGGAAGCTATCGGATCGAATTCACTCAATACACGTCCGATAGGCATCCGATTCTTTCGTCAGACTTTTTGTGAACTAATTGTAGTGTTGCCAATTTATGGGGAATTCCCCAAATACATGGAATTTCAACTCAACAACTTGTTTGGGGATTTTGTTTGGAGTACGCTATGTGAGGAAAATGCCCTTGCATTCTAGAATTTTATTTTATCTATATATTTAATTATACATAATTTATTTTTATATATAACTATAATTTATTTTTTCAACATCGCACATGCGCCGCTTATATAGCAACATTTATATAGAATTATTAGCAGACCGCTTAAATATGTATAAAATTATACAGTAGGATTAGAATCACTTTGTCTTGAATTGTAAAACTACTACTATTATCAGTCACCGACAAGAGCCTGGCTCTTAAATAGGATGATGATGATCAGTCGGTGCGTGGTTGAGCGCGCGACCCTTCCTCGTTTAGGCCAGTTCCCGGTGTGAAAAAAGAATACAGCTGTTGCCGAACAAAGCCGAGCAGTAGGTATTTTAAAGGACTATCCACACAAATCAGGGCCGTGCCCGAGACGTGGACGGGGCGTGCTAGTTTGTATGAACTGCGTGTACGTCTCGGCACCGGCCTGGACACGGACATGTGTGAACGAGTTCGTACAAAATAAACGCAACGATATTTTTTTGAGCCCCTGACGGAGCACGGTCCATCCACGTCCCGGGCACGGTCCGGATAAGTATGGATAAACCTTAATACCACAACTTGCCACTCGTCAAGCTTAAATATTAAGGTTTAAACTTAATTCAACTTGTTGGGTTTATTTCTAATTATGACATAACGTATATGTAATAGAGGGGCACATTTTGACGTTCTTAATTATTTGATATATTTTTAAGCGTAACAATAATAATATAACAAATACTGAGAATGAATAAAATGATTAAATGTGGGAAATATGACCTTTGCTCTCCCCAAATTGATAACCTTGATTTTTGGGGATTTTGAATAATTTGCATTGGCAACGCTGCAATTCGGAGCGAAGAATCTGACGTGTATTTCGTCTCCCCGCAAAAGTATATAGAGCGGGCCTTCAGACAATCCGATAAGTAATAAAATCGGACACTATTTACGACTCGGACGCCACGTCACGTTCGATACTCGGATCGGACGTGTATTGAGTGTTTATACAATTATATCGTACGAGCGCCTTCCAGTAGTCGGATCAGAATATCGGATGGAAAAAATGGACGTGTACTTGTCGCACAGCTGCCTAGACGCACATTCGTACGAGTGGCGATGCGAATAGCGATGCGATACACGACACGCATATGTAGTCAGCTCTCTATCGCGACTCGCTTCGCCTCACGTGCGATCGCGTCATGAGTGGTTTTTAGAGGTGGGTGATAAATAACGTCACGATGATCCGCCGTCAAACAGGATCACCGTGACTCGTTCCGAAGGAACGACGTTCCACAGTCACATAGGTGTTCCTCCGTTCCAATAGCTATCCCCGTCACTCACATCACGACATAGGTATTTGATACAATGCGCCATCTCCGTTCCGTGGTGACTGAGCGCGCCACTCGTTGTAGTTCTCTTCAAATCGGGCCATTTCGGCGCCGGCGATGGGAGTGATCGAAATAGGATGACTTTCTTTGCTCACTCACAAGGGTCGTAGGTGCTTATTGCTACTAGAAAAGGCGGATGAAAAAAATCTGCAGCAGTAAAATATTTATTGCAAAGTAAAATATTTTTGTATATTTGTTTTATTATAGGAAGAGTTGGTATTTTATATTTATGTATATTCTACTTTGTGTATTCTACTAGAAATATAATTACATTACAAGTTATTGCTATTTTTAACAATCCAAAGATTCGCATTAAATAAGTAACAAACAAAATTACATTAAATACAAAATCAACTTTTTGAATGGAATTGAAACTTATTACAAAGGGAGTAAAAACTTAAATCATTCTATAAAAAACGGCTATAAGCTTGGGCAGACGCTCGACTACGCAAAGCTCCGAGTACTCGGAATCTGAAGAATGCTTTTAATAAGGCCGTCAAGAAGTGCAAAAACGTGTTATGTAGGGCCAAGTTCAACTGTGTACGCTGCATAGAAGCTATGCTTGCCTGTTATCCAGCATGTAGCAAATCGTTTTGGTCCTTAGCCAAAGCGGTCGAAACTGACTTTTATCGCCCATCTTTACCACCTCTACTGAAGCCAGACGGCTCGCTGCCCCATACTCCAGAAGAGAAAGCGAATTTTTTTGCACCACTTCTTTGCAGAGAGTTCGCGTCTGGATGCTGCAGGGAATCTCACTTTACCTCAAGCTGGCTGCACTATGGCGACAGTTCGCGTACGCCAAAAAAAGGTACTTAGATCTCTGCGGAGTCTAGACGTGGGCCAGATGGAATTCCAGTAATAGTCCTACGTAATTGTGCGCCTGAGTTGTCTCCTGTTCTCATACACTATATTGCCTCTCACTAGAGAGTGATGTAGTTCCTAGGTTGTGGAAGCTTGCAAACGTGCAACCTGTGCCGAAAAGGAAGCAGTGCTGACCCTGTCCACTGTAGATCTATCTCAGTCATTTCCATTCTTTGCAAAACTATGGAACTTGTACTCAACAACCGTCGCTTGTCGTGCCTTGAAGACAACGACCTCTTTAGTTATTGCCAAAACGGATTCCGGCGAGAGCGATCTACTGGGGATCTTCTAGTGTATGAAAAAAAAACTATAGAAAAGCAAGGCGAAGCACTTGCAGTGTCTTTGGACATTTCTAAAGCCTTTGACAGCGTCTGGCGTGCAAACCTTTTAAGCAAGTTTCCTTCTTATGGGCCTCCCACTGACCTTTGCAATTGGATCTCGGATTTCTTGAGGAAACGTTCGATTCGAGTAGTCTTAGAAGGCTACTCTTCCGAACATCGGGCGATTGATGCCAGAGTTCATCAGGGTTTCGTACCGTTAAAAAACACGCTATTTAAGTTAATAACAACATTAACTATAGTATATCAAACGTACCCGAAATCAACATTCAAATATGCACACAGCATTATTTGAAACCCTCTTTGTTTCTTCGGTAAAATGATCACAAAAATTGTTCAATTTTGGCCCCCATGTCACCAAGTATTAGTACTTACCTTTTTGGCGGGAAAAGCAGCACGATCTCCGCACAGCCGATCACACTGCGCATTAGCTCGACTCTGGAGGGGGCGGGAGGTAGTGATCGGAAAGTTCTCCAAAGCTTACAGTATTTGGTAGTGAGCATTTAAAATTGTTCACCAAAATTAGGCTCTTCCTGCGGAGGATTGTTCTTGGTACGATATTACTTTATATTAGACCGTTTAATTATGGACTATAATATTCACTGACAATACGGGTGTACCAGTATTTTTTCAAAATATTGTTGGATGTTCTTCAATCAAGAAAACAAGTTTCAGACACAGGCTGTGGACGCGTCACCAAAATTAGAAACCAGTACTAAAGAAGTTATAAATATACTATAACGTCAATGTAGAATTTTTTCTTTAGGTGAACATTTAGGTATACTTGCCTACAAAAAATATTACATATCTATTTTAGCAATTTATAATACAACTTTCGACCACGCCGCGCAAAAATCACAGCTGGGAAAATCACTGAGGTACACCTTGCAAAATGGATTGGAGCAATGCGCGGGTCTTGCAATTTCTAGAACTGTATGTATGAAACCGAAGAGCTCATTTGGAACCCAAAACATCCAAACCACAAAATTAAACACAAAGTTCACGCTGCATGGAACCGTATTTCTAATATTATAAAGGTACCAGCCAATGAGTTGAAAGCGAAGAACTCGTTAATAGCAAATTGTTATGTGTATCTTCGTAAGAAAAAAACAATCTATAATATGGGGCATGGGGCCGAAAGATGTATATGACGCTTAAACCGCTATGGAAAATTTCTTGAGATCAGTGTATAACTGCGAACCTCAATAGACACTGAATATAATGTAAGTACTTTTATAGATACCATTGTATATACGTAGGTGTCGCGTGCAATGAAATGTAAACGTTTGTTAATTTTCGAATATAATTATGTAAATATAAGAAATACTAAAAACAAGTATACCTTTGTGTTGTATTCAAAAATATGTGTTAAGTAATTATGTCATGGAAATTTTTTTTAATGTATACTTTTATTTCAGAGAAAAGTAAACAACCACTGATAAATATACACTCGATGTTTTATATATTTATCCATATCATTTTCGTAAAAATTATTACAAAGCATTTGCATTTTTTTAAATTACGTTTGTGATTTTGTCATTATTATGTAACCACTTTTAAAACTACGGAATTTATTAGATTTTAGCCAGAATCTACTATTGAAATTGAAACCAAGTATAACGTCCTGTACGTTTTACCTGTAGTACTTCTTTAATTAAGAAGAAAATGGCGAAGTTCTTGAAGTCCTGATTTTTACAAATTCTAAGTTGCCATTATGACCGAGTAGACTTTTAAAAGGACTAATTAGTTTTTTTTAGAAAAAAGTAACCACAATCATCATATATAGAACAGGAAAAAATATTATGAAAGCTTATACGTCTGTTTTTCCCATAAAAATCAAAAGTTAATAAATAAACCGCCATGTTTGAATAATTATTCGACCACGAGCAGGTGACAACAGCGGCTCGCCGTAAACAACGTAAATAAATCAATGAATTATATGTCATTTTTTTGGAATATGTTTTTGTTTTTATACTCCCAAATATGTGTTTTATCATAATGTTGTATTATTTTCACGGAATACACAGTGCAATGTCAGTAAAAACGTAGATTATGAATTTGTTCTTTGTAAAGTATGGCCGGTTATTATCTAGTTAACTCACTTCATTAATTTGTTCTGCACGTATCACTTCCGGTCGTTATTTAGTAATACTATCCTTTCTAAAACAGATAATAATAAATTATATTTATAATTATAACTAATTTATATAAAAAAAAGACCTCAAAAGTTTGCTTATCGGCTTTTTATTGGAATTACATCTATTTGCAAAGTTTAATTCGGTTAACGGAAAGTATCAATTTCATCCCCTAGTTTGCCACTCTTAGAAGTGAAATATTTTCTTCAAATTTAAATGGGACCAATACTTTGGTACCCTCTTTCCAACAGAAAATAATCATCAAAACCGGTTCACAATTCGAAGTAATCGCGTAACACACCTACACATAAAATAATACATTCTAATTGAGAGCCTTTCTTTCTTTCTAATTGAGAGACTTTTATGATTTGTATTTTTAACTTGTGCTACAAGATTACGAAATCAATCAGATTTTAAATGCATCTGAAGTAGAAGATGCAGACGATGATGGGGATATCATATAGGAAGAACCTGATATCGACGATTTGAGAGCCGACGGAGAAGAAAGTGGTACAAGCAGTAGTGAGCCAGAAATTGAGTATACTCTGCCCCCTACACGCAAAGTTTTATTAAGTTTCATAATAATTCTATTTCTTCGTGATTATATTAAGACCGGATGTAGTTTAGAAATAACAAATATATGAGCATTTTAATTTTGTGCATAATTTTCTTTCACATTTACAAAAAAACTTTCGTTCCAGAGAAAAATGTATGGAACAGTTTAAAGTAATTTAAACTGGACCTCAATGTTCAGGACTCACAGGTAATACAAATTTTGTGCTATGTAAAGAACATTCCGTCATAACGACACATGCTTTTTTTTAAACTCAGGCCTCAGGAGGATAATTACCCATTTAAGTCTTGTCCGAGAATTTACAATAACCTTTTTTTTGTATACATTTTAATGAAAATGCGTTGTATAAATATTTACGAAAATGATATGGATATATGCCATGAAATACCATAAGTTTGTATTTACCGTTGCTTGTAGTTTGTATACTTTTCTCTCAAATAAAAGTACATCTTTTACAAAAAAGGTCGTGTCTTTTGACTCGTGCTCGAAGAACCGCTCATGACGCGATCGCACGAGTGGCGATGCGAGGCGCGACATAGTTACATATGCGTGTCGTGCATCGCATCGGCTCTCGCACGAATGTAAGAACGCGTTTCAGCCACTCGACACGAATGTTTTGAGGAAACATTCGTGTTATAGCGAGCACGATAGTAAAAATGCGGTATTACACATGTATGTATGTGTATCGCATCGATGTTCGCATAGCCACTCGCACGAATGTGAGAATGCGGCATAAGATTTACTGTCAGAAAATATATTTTTTTCAATTAATTGACAGTTGACTTCTGTCAAAAGCGTGAGTCAAAAGTTACTGAATGAAAACGATGGAGTCAAACATTGACTTAATTGTAAGTCAATGGAGTCAAAGCCAATTTATTATTATTTTAACTTTTTCCATCCTTTAAGTTTTAAGTACATACACAATGATTCTTTTGTTACGCTGTTGTGCTGTCTAATAAATCTCGTTTTTCTCTTGAATAATTTTATGTTATAATTTTATTGTGATTCCCGCCAAAGATTTGTAAACGAAGAACGGTGCCTTCAAATTAATATTTTTATCTCAACGCGATAAACTGCGGCAATATTGCCAGAATTTGTTCATTGTTAATTCACTTTCAGATCTATCCATTGCAATTTTTATTTTTAGTGTTTTGCTATTTGTCTTGGTGTTTTTAATTTTTTTTTCATCCTTTATTTTGTCGCAGTTTTCTTTTTTCCTTGACTTTTCGCGGTTAGCGTTTCAACTACATAAAGGATGGAAAAAAATAAAGGAACTATTAGTGTACTTGTTTTTAAAACGGGGAAACTTAGTATAGAGCAAGAAATTGAAAAATTTTACACTTAACCCAATTATCATTCTAAAGGACTGTCCACACACATTAGATAGATAGACCATTAGACAGAATTGTGGCTCTGACACTTATACTGCCCTGATAAGCCGAAAAGCGCTATCTCAATCGGAGTAAGTTTTGAGAAAATCGACTTTTTGTAAATTGCATTTTATGTAATTGTATTGTATTTAAAAATACTTCTTAGTGGTTTTTTAAATGTTTTAAGTTAGATAGCGCTATTTCTATTATACCATTAGATGCGAAATTTTTATAGCTATTGAATGGCATAAAAAAAACTAAAAAGGCGTAACTCAGAGATAGCGCCTTTCGGCTTAGCAGGGCAGTATAGGACTGGTAGAAGGATTTAATTTAGGCGGAAAGCATAAATGTCATTGCTACGTAGTCTTTATTAATACATTAAAAAATATGATGACGTCATATTTTTTTGTCAATGGATTGGATTGGACATGGACAAAACTCGATTGGCTGTTTTAGCTATTTGTGCAGTACATTTTGATAGTTTTTATGTGAAATGCTACCATCGACAGGTTATTTTAAAGGCATTAATTGCCCTTTTTATGATAGCGGCTTATGTGAAAGGCCGTATTGTCATTTCCGTCATGCAAAAAAAGACTCTGTGCTGAACCCCTCAAATGACGGGATCGAAAGTGGAGCAATACTACAAAAACTTGTATCAGCAGCAGTCCAGAAAGTTCTTCAACAGAACGAGGGATTAGCAACGGCAACGTCCACACCTGCAGTTCCAACTGAAGGAACCACTGATATTAGTAAGATAAACAATGTTGTTGTTCAGTCCAAAGTCACATACAACCCCACTCCAATAGCTCAATTAAATAAAATCAATAATGCAAGTTTCGTAGACGTTGATGATTTAAATGAACAGAGAAAAAAGCACATTCCTGTGCCATATACGCCAAGAAAACCTGCAAGTGTACCAATCAAACGGCCAACTGAAACAAATGGCTCTACAAAACCATTTATTTACATTCCGCCGCCTGTAAAGTATACTCCAGGTTGTGCTGAAGCTATTGAGCTAGACCCATATACACCTAAAGGTGCAACAGAGTGTAATGAAAAGTACTTACCTGGAATTGAAAAAGAAATACAGGAGTATAAACCTAAAGAATCGCAATCATTGAACAAGCGTAACTATGTTCCTTCTGACAGAAATGTTAATAAGAAGAAAATTTTAGAATATAAACCCACTAAAGTGTCATCAAGTAATGAAATTCCTTCAGTAACATACCAACCAACTCCCAGGTTCTTAGCTCCATGCTTTTCAAGTGATGAAGATGAACCAGATGTAAAAAAAGTAAAAATTGCAAATGATATAAATGGGTTGGATGACTTAGGACCAGAGTTTGACATTTTAGATCAGATACTACATGAAGAAAAACAACATCAGAACTCAAATTCAGATCTTAATTCTGAACTGGATGTTACCACACAGGAGCAAAGCTCTAAACCTGAGCCCACACCAAGTGATAGTGTCAAGCCTGATGGGATTAAATCTACTGAATCTTCATCTCCAAAAGATGCTAAGAAATCAGAACACCATAAAAAGCACAAGAGCTCATCTAGCAGAAAGGAAAACCGCAAATCACATGAGAAATCAAAGTCTGACAAGGATAAAGATAAGTCTAATAAAGATAGGACACACAACCACGAACAAAGTGACAAAAAGACAAAAGAGCCATCTCACAAGAGTCATAAAAGTGCTAGCAGAGATAAAAGTAAGGAAAAGGTTGACAAAAAGGATAAATCTTCAAAGAAAGATAAACCATCTTCCAGAAGCTCTAAGCACTCAGATTTGAAGTCTTCGAAAACTGAAAAGCACTCTAAACATTCAAGTAGCTCTAAAAACAAGGATAAAAAAAGTGATCACTACAGACATTCAAGAGAAGATAAAAAAATGAAGAAGAAAGATAAGTCAGTTATTGATGAACTTAATCATGATAGTAATTTTGCTGACAACACTCAATTTGACCAAAGAGATGAGGGTTTATACAACATTTCATCAGAGTCAGATGAAGACGCAATTGCTTTAGAGTGTAAAAGGATTTTTGAAGAATATGTACCTGCAGAAAAGAAAGTAGTTGAAGAATCATGTGATTTATCATTAGAAGACAATACTAACACTGAATATGTGTCAGCTAAAAAGCGGATATCAAGAACAAGTGACACAAAGGTAAAAGTGTTACCTAGGCCATCACTAAAACCAGACTACAAAGTAAATGCAGCCCAGACCATGGCTGAAAGATTGACCAAAGTCAGAGAATTTCATGCTTCACAAAACACTGGTACCTCAATTAGTGAAACAGCTTCTTTAAAAACACACACAGAACCGCCAAAAACATTTACTCCACATTCTAGCAATTCCAAAATAAGAATTGCACATGTTCCATATGCTTCCACATTAATGAGTGCTAAAAGAGGTATTCCTCCCCCTAATATGAAAAAGGAAGAACCTACTACAAGCTCTACTATGGCACAAACTATTAAAAAAGGTGTACAGCGAGTAGCTCATATTCCAAATGAAAAATTTATAGATCGTCCAGGCGTTTTAGAACCTTTAGCTTCAAAAATTGCAGCTAATATTCGCTCTACATATTTAAATATGATGATAGATGAGTGCTTAAAAATTTACTTATCGGCGACTGATGCTTATGCTAGAGCTCAACATGAAGAATTGGCTACAAGTAAAAAATGCTCTACTGTCCAAATATATAAAAATTCTGCTGTTCTAACAGTTAGTAGACTTAGGAAAGAGCTGCAAGAATGTAATGGTGTTAAGAAATCTGGGTCAGAATGTTCAGCATTGCAAAAAATTCCTCAATCAATATCAGGTCATACAAGTCAAGCTGGTTCATGGAGTATTGAAAATAAGAATAGAAGAGTTATAGATAATGTTGAATTTGTTGGAGCTAAGTTTTATAATAATATTAAAAAGTGGGTTCTTAGTGAAGAGCAATTGAAAGAAAATGGTTTTCCACTACCACACAGTTCTGGAGAAAAGGGCAGGGCAATAATTTATGGGCAAAATAAGCAAAAACCGCCAAAAGGTTTTATACGAACATGTTGCAGATGTAAAAAAGACTATACTATTGACAAGAAAGGCTTTCCTGCAGTTAAAGAAGAGTGTATTTATCATCCTAATAACAAATACAGAGTTCGAGGTGAGATAAAGTACCAATGCTGCAGCCAAGACGGTTCTTCAGATGGTTGTTGTATAGCACCATGCCATGTCTATGAGTATGTAGATTATGAAAACTTAAAAGGGTTTGTTAGAACTTTGCCACCAGAAAGAGAAATGGATGATTATGCTGTGTACTCCTTGGATTGTGAGATGTGTTATACTACACATGGATTGGATTTGACTAGAGTAACAGTGATAAATTCTGCCTGCAAAGTAGTTTTTGAATCCCTTATAAAGCCGTTGCACCCAATTATAGACTATAATACTAGATATTCTGGTATTACAGAAGAGCAGATGGCAAATGTGAAAACAACACTACTGGATGTTCAAGCAACTATACTTACTATGTTTAATTCTAAAACAATTTTGATTGGTCATAGTCTAGAGTCTGATTTTAAAGCTCTTAAATTGATTCATGGTTCTGTTATAGATACTAGTGTCCTGTTCCCTCACAAAATGGGACCTCCTTACAAAAGAGCTCTTAGAAATTTAAGTTCAGAATACTTAAAGAAAATAATTCAGAATTCTGTTGATGGCCACGACAGTGCTGAAGATGCTAGAGCATGTATGGAGTTAATAATATTCAAATTAAAAGAAGATTTGAAAACTAGGTGAATGTAGCAATAATTATTAATGTTTTTCATGTTACAATGAAAATGGTTAATATTATCTGTAATTCATCATCATCATATTTACTGTGCATCTTATACATTTATTGAATAAGTAATAAGACTTTGTAATCATATACGGGCCATATTCTGCATAAGTGGGTTAACCCACAAAAAATCGTAAACTGAGTTATGAATGCAGTCTTTATACCTTGTAACATAAAGTTTAATATACTTTTCACTAATATCATAAAAAGAATTGGACTAATTGTTAAATCAAAAAATTGTTGTCATAAAACCTGGTTCGACTCATAGGAGAATTTCGTAAAAATGTGTTACGTGTGGTTAAACCATAAATGCGTATTACAACCATTGAGGTCAATGATTACAACACATATCTTTCAACGTGGTTTGAAACGATTTAGTTTAAGTACGCTTAACAAAATATACAACTTTTTTGAAAACTACATATTTTAAGTTTTGTATGTGATGTGGGCAGACTGGAAAATGATATAGATTCTGAAACGAGGATTGGGCGATTACAATAAGGGAACTTTTACTGCTAAAATTAGAATTTGGCTAAGCGCACCTTCCGAGATATTTATTACAAAAACTAAAGCTTATATATTCCCAACGGTTTTTAAAAATTAAATTATACACATTACGATTTTTACGTTTTAACACGTTTGGAAGCAACTGTACTCAAATATAATTGTATTATTCTTTTCTCTAAACTTCGTTATTTAAATGAGTAAGGACAAAAAGTTGCCAAACATCTTTAATATCTCGAAACTGTCATTTTGTGCGTTAACTCATTAGGTATTCAGAACATGGCCCATATAACTTTAAGCAATACTAGTTCTGTATTGTGATGTAACATAATTTAATCTAAAGAATTAAATGTATGTATTTCTATAAAGTTTTTTAAATCAGGTATTTGATACATACCTACCAAACCAAACCTTTTGATGATAACTAGAGTACATAAGAAACAATAGCAATTAGAATATTCGTGTAAACGTTAGGAGTAAATTACATTATATTCTTTGATGTCTTTGTTACCTTGGGTATAGTTGGGGCCCCATTTGTCTTCACGCATTTTTGTTGACTGCCGGTATCACCTACGCACACAATGTCTACACGTATGCCTGTCTGCCACAGAATTCATCTTCACACTCAAGGGTAGGCCACATCACGTAGCCGGGGATAGGTACTTCGGTTCATACCGCGAACTAAGCTAACCGAGCTAACTAAATTGGGGCATATATTCATACTTCGGTTCATACCGCGAACTAAGCTAACTCAACTAACTAAATTAACCCACCGATCCCGCTAAGCTGTGTAAAATATGTCGCCTTTCACCTTTCATAACATATCCGTAGTACCACGCCACTACACTAGTCACTACGTATTTTCTTAGCTTAGTTTTGCATGCAACTACATGAGCTAGCTAAGTTAGCTTAGCTGGCGTAGTTGGTTACATGCAACTAAGTAAGCTAAACTTAGCTTTAGCTCAAGTAGCCGCAGCATGTTTTCATACATCTGTTCACACCGCGAACTAAGCTAACCGAGCTAAGTCGCATAGTTGGTTACATGCAACTACGTGAGCTAAGCTAAATTTGCTTTAGCTCACGTAGCTGCGGCATGTTTTCATACGTCTGTTCACACCGCGAACTAAGCTAACCGAGCTAAGTCGCATAGTTGGTTACAAGCAGCTATGTGAGCTAAGCTAACTTAGCTTATTTTCTCTCGCGGTGTGGCCTGCACTTTAAGCTTGAAGTATAACATGGTTACTAACTACCATTTACTGCCTCTTAGGTTCAATTAATGTTGTGGCGGAACGGATTGAGCCTTGGCAAATCATTTTACAAAACATTTCACTTTAGAAATGTACAGCAAGAGATTTGGCTTAGGCTACTTTGGCATCATTTTTTAAATGTGTTTTTGTGGTGGCCACGAAAAATCCTGTGTAACTACTTTCATCCACATACCTACAGCTGCCTTAGTAACTGGCACCACACAAAACAAGTTTCTTGTCTGTATCTTCAAAAAGTCACTTTTATCAAATAAGATTTGTGGCCATTATATTGTAATTAAAAATTAATACATTCAAATAACGCCTAAGTCTGACACGAAAATATTCATAATAAAAAACTAAATACTGATAAACTTGTGGAATATGGTCAAATAAAATAATAAATATTAAAACTGAAAATAATATTTTACTAGAAGATAAAGTATTACACATAATTATACATGAAAATTATATTGGAACACATAAGATACTTCATTCAAACCTGTAATTAGCTTTATAAAATCATATTTAGATTGCTAAAATATATTTCAGAAATTAGATCCATTGGGACATTTAATTGAAAACGAGAACATAATGTATAACTTAGATCAGCCATGCACATGTATTTATATAACATTTTAAAATATATTTTACAAATAAAACTTGTACTATTTGGGTAATCATTTTGTTCCATAATTAGTTTTGGTATACAAGATACTTTTGATTGACATATAAAAATAAGCATTATCTCAACTACTATACACATTAAATTCTTAAGAGACGTGAAAAATACAAAATGTAAATGTTTGGCTGACTGTACGATTCGGACTAAATGTCAGGAAAAACAAGGCTAATGCTACACAATTTTCACAATTCAGTAAAGTCATAATTCCACATACTTAAATATACTAATTGCTAAAAAGCAAAGTACAATTTAAATATCTTCTAACCATGTGTCTAATAAAAACCGCATAATGTACAGAAGTATTTTAAATATAAATGATATTCGATAAAAAATCCTACATGTGCAGCCCAAATCCACTACTTATACTGTAGAATGTTTATACATGAGGGCTGCTGCATTCTTAATATACACATAAACCTTCCTTGGGAAAATCTTCAACAACAGTGACAAGATCAACATATAGTACAAACTTTCTTTAAGATTAGCCCCAAATACACAGTTTACACCACTTCCTCTTATATTAACTTTCAATTGATGACATACAACTAAATAATTTTCATAATATTATGCAATTACACATACAATTCCAAGACTATATCAGGTGCAATAGTCGACATTATTGATATATGTCTATTTATTCCAAGCTGTGTTTAAAAGAATAACACATATGTGTATACTAGAATATTATTTTGAAGTCGTTAACTATTGCAATCACCTAGATTTTTAAGGACGATATAATAGAATATTGAATTATAAACTGCACAATGCACATACAGTAAGGAACAACTATTTCACTACCACACCAGTCTGCGTGTAATGAGTCCAAATATTAGGTATACACATAATGAGAGAAAGAAATACAGTATATGATAGTAGTACTCGGGGAAGTAGGATAATTTTTTATAGGAACACAAATGGTGTTGCCATGCTATGTCTTGAAATTTGATACAACAAAGTTACAAGTGTTTTGGGGATCTTTTATCACATGGAAGAAGTGGTTAGCTGTATCAGGGGGCAAGAGTTATTTGTTTACATAAGTAATACTCAGTGAGTTATTTTCTAGTTACATTTAAACATTACCAAAACCTCTAAGCAAAGACTAATGCCATATTAATAAGAATAAGTTGCTTAAAACAATAAATTTTTGAACTTTTACAACTGTCCCAATGAATTCATGAAGAATTGGCTGACAAACAGCAGCATAGAGCATGCAAACTTCACTGTTGACTGAGATCCCATGTCCCCCCCGCTAATCAATAAAAGATTGTTCTACACATGCTTTAACCCTTTTCTCATATTCTCGGCGGTTTTCTTTATATAGCTGTGCTGCCATAGAATTGGCAGGCGAGTTTGGGTTAGGGTCACTCAATAAAGACTGAAAAAAAAAGTTATTTAGTAATTTTAGCTTTTAATTGCAGAAATTGCTTAATATTGTTGAGAGAATTATGTTTACCTGTATGGATGTCAGTATGGCAGAGACATCGTACGTAGGGCTCCACCGATTTTGCAATATGTCTAAGCAAATTCCACCATCTGCATACACATTTGGATGAAACATTTTTGAGACAAACCGTACAGTTGGAGGTTTGTTGGGATATTCCTCTGTAAATTCTATTGTTAGCTTAAATGTGCCATCCTCAAAGGGAGTGTCATGAGGACCAAATATCACAGCATTCCAGATCATGATGTTGTTGTCAGTGGGAGCACCAGACACTCCAGTTGGTGGGTCCTCTTGCAGCCTGTAATAAGAAATAATCAGTTTACCTCTTATTCAAGAGTATGATAATGTAAGAGGCTCACTTTGACAGCTAAGGAAGATGATAGTATTTTGAATGCAATTAACAAAACAGTAAACAGACAAATATTAATTTATTGGGATTTAAAAAAATAAATTAATTTAAATGAAACATTATATAATATGATAGCACATATTTCAAGTATTATTTTCGCATGAATTCTAAAATAAAAGGCAATTTTCAGTCAGTCTGATATGTCTTAAAAACAGATAAATATTTTTAATATTTTTAAGTAATAGTGTGTGTTATAATTAAACAAATATAAAATCGCCGAATTTCACTGAGTCAATTCAATTTCACAAAAAAAATGACTTCTTGATTTTGACAAAGATGTTGTCATTGATAATATGATTGAAAGTGAAATAATTGTGATTCATACAGGTAGCTCAACTGATGATTTTGGCTAAGTGCACATAAAAGTGACGTTCTATTGTTATACTAAACAGTGTCATCATCATCATTCACCCATACGACGCCCACTGCTGGGCATAGGCCTCCACCAACGATTTCCATGACGGTCAGTCCTGCGCTGCCCGCATCTATCGACTTCCCGCAACCTTTACCAGATTGTCGGTCCACCTGGTGGGGTGCCTACCCACCGAGAGTCGCCCTGTGCGCAGTCGCCACTGAAGAACCTTTCCGCCCCAACAGCCTACGGTTGTCCTAGCTACGTGCTTTGCCCACTGCCACATACTAAACAGTGTGTAGAGCTTATATTTATTTTCACTTATTAATGTGTTGAGATAAAAAACGATTTTATTATTTATTTATCATTATTATACAAATTTTAATTATGAAGTCTTTTATTTATTTTGCAATTTAACTATACTCCGAGATGAAATTGAAGTTCCATAATGTAGACAAAGGCATTGCATGTAAACGCATAATTTAATAATTTATTGCTATAGTACTATTACATTATACATTTACATTTATATTTTATTAAAAATAATGTGTTTAATTAAGAATAATAAAATAAAAATAGTACACCGATTCATTTTTAAATAGTTACAATTAATAGTAAAACTAAAAGCCAGATTTTGATTGATAGGGATGGATAACGGATTGGGACACCGGTTTGAATCCCCATCAGACCAAACAGTTTGTTGCGATTTTGTTAATTCAGTTTGTGACACATGCAATTTGTTGTACATTATTTATGTAATATAAATGTGTTGTTATATTTTTCTTTATTGTTGCTGACATTACATTGACAATGATAACTAATTTTGTTTATTAAAACTTATCTGTTACAAGCACTCGCATCAAACAACAACTTTACAGCCTTCTGTATTATATTTTGGCACAAATTAATGAAATGAAAATCGAGCATACATACATATATACAATATATACATATACAACATATTGCACTAATGTGTTACATATGTAAGGTTTTTATTTCTGTAGATTAAAATGTTCTAACTATAATTGGGGTGGCAAAACAAATCTTAATAATTTGCATGGTTTAGTTAGGTTATAAATGAGTCATTGTTATGTGGTGCTACTAGTGCATAAATAAGGCAAACAAAGTCACCTTTTGTGAGATTAAAACCTCATGTATTCAGGTCAGGGGAATTCAAGAATAATAGAGATACTGCTACGGCTAAAAATGATATTGCTACTTCTAAAAATAAGTTGGCAAATCCAAAATTGTGCTATCGTGTTCCGTATAGAATTTAGGTGCATAAAAATTATATTACATTTCAGTAACCTAGATATCACTACACTAAACAACCACGACGCAAACACTTTAATAGAGGTGACGTATGTAGTATATGTATTTGTCATTCCCATTACCATACAAAATTTAGATTCCTAATAAGAGGGACATTGGGATATCGTCGATTCTTACAGTAGATACGTAAGCAGAGTAGAATAGAAATCGATGAAAATGACAGTGATGTAATTTGATGATTCAGCATTGCGAATCCCCATTTCATAAAAAAATGTAATGGTGAATATTTCACAAATGTGAATTTACTATGGTAGTGTACTCTTGTGATGCATAATAAGAATAATTCAGATACAAACCGTTTGAAATCTCTCATCAAGCGTCTTCTGGCTGGAGTTGACATATTTGATTCACGCACTCACTGTTGTACGTTTGTTCTATACGAATAGCGACTTACGTGACTGATTTTTAACAAATAAAAACGAGTTAACATGCACACAAAAGATTATTCCTTTGTCAATACTGTGTAAAAAATTTTGTCGTCACGGCCAGTGAGATGGTGGCCAGATGACCATGAAATTAGCAATTTTTTTTGTGTCAAGACATTGTGCCAACTAAACAGGTTTTTTACATTTTTTGTATTGGTTAACCTGAGTAACCCTCTTCAGGATGTACTATGGTAGTTGCTATGAAACAAAATATGAAAAGAAATCTTTCTTTTTGCGTAGATATATAACCATGTACGAGATTTTAAGCACAATAGTTATAATAAAAGTTTAAACTCACTGATTGTAAAATATAGTACAATAAAAAAATATAAATATACATAAAATATTGGCGAAATCTTAGAATATTTCTTTAATGTCGAAATATAAGTTTCAAATAAACAAACTTTGTATTCATATAGCAATTTTGGGGTAGAAATATACCGATTTCAAAGGGCAACTCTAGCGATTTCTGAAGTTGACCGCAAAGATCTATTGTTGACGTGAGGTGAAATGTGTGGTGAATGTGTTCTATGTTTCTCGAGCAAAATTTTTATGTTTAATTTTCTATAGACCTTTTTTGTTTGGGTTTGCCATTATTTGCGTATCGTTTCCGTTAAAACTGTTTATTTTCAATATGAACGAGCAGAGTAATAAGAAAATTTTGTTCAACAAATCAACAGTGAGTAGCTCTTAAGTTTGTCAGTAGTACAGCGAAAATCTTAAAATAAACTTGTGACTATTTATTATTTTGTTTGTTGCATATAGACATTGTTCTATAGGGTTTTTCAAGAAGAACATAACAATTTTGTATTTCAGTACAACACAGAATAATTGAGATATCGAGCTGAGATTTATTCCAGGTGCAATGCACATGCTACATTTAAGCGTGAAACACACAGAGCGAGTGCGGGTCGGGTTGGGACCGCGGCAGTTCTAATTCCGTGTATTTATATGTTGACAACACATCGAGGGTGGACATTCGCTTCGCCCGAATCGCACTCCTCTGTGTTCACGCTTTATGACTGGAAGTAGAATTCGTTCATATGAACACCGGGGGCCCGTTTGCAGCGTTTAATTTTTTGTCCCTGATCAAAAACTGATATTAGTTATTTACAAGTAAGAAATGCGAACTGTGACTATGACAGTTATAGGGACTGGGACTATCCTATTTTATTGATTACACAATATCTGTAATACTGTAGCATACACTCTGAATTTTGTATGTATCAATCTCCTTGTAATGTAAATTATGTTATCAGTTTGAAGGAAATGTACTTAACATATATGTAACAAATAATGCACAGCTATCGACCAGACCAGAAACAATAGTGAATATAGTGAAATAGAATAACAAGAAAAGACGCCAAAAACAAATACATTTAAATTTAGAATTTAAATGTAAAACTTAGCTTAAAAAAACAAAAAGGGTTTGTAGGGACACCTGCTATTCCCTACAATGACTACAATAATATGTATGAAAATATTATTGTTGACTTTAATAACAATGGAAATATTAATATAGAAATTTTATTGGAAACTTTGAAATCGTTTATGTACCTATTATAGTTTCAAATTCGATCATATGTAGAATTTTTATACTAGATATTACATGAGTAGACATATTAACTTATGGCATTTTAAAAAGTGTTGGATTGAATATAATAAAATATTCAGAATATCATGGCAGAATCTTCACTGTCTTTTCTATCTATGCCCATTATTTGACTTGTGCTTGTTCAAGCCACGTTACCCTGTTAAGGCTCTAGTCAGCATTCTGGTGTCATTCTTGTTCAGTGACAGAGTTACTCTACGGTGTTTGGCACTGTAGGCAGCTATCAAGGTTTTTAAATGCTCAACATCCTTGCTTTGTAGCCACATTTTTTAGGAGATGTGTGTGCTCTAGCTCAGCTGCGTGAGCTTTGCCTGGCAGTATATTATCCCTATAAAGGGTTCAGGACCAATAAAGGTTTCCCTAGCATCAGCCTAAAATGGTATTAGTAATCAAACTGTTATGTGTAATATTAATGTAAATCACGCTATTCTAAAATTCTGAACTGTAGTTACAAAACTATGCTATACAGTTCATAATACAATGGTTTACATTAACATTAGAATAACTGTTTAAAGGCCTGTTCAGATTACATGTTATTCGCTTCAGCTGTGGGCAACGAAGTCTGAGTGAGTACGCCATATTCCCACTGTTCACACCTAAGCGGGTATTGCTACCGCTATGGGTAGCAAAATCCATTATTCATTATCGTCTATTTTTATTATGTCATCTAATCGTCACTAACTGACTTGCGAGCTGTGCGGCGGGATGAATTTGACATTACTTTCGGCAAAACCCTGCTTCGCAGCAAGCAAGAGTTACCGCCTACCTGTGCAGTATGGCCGTGGAACTTCATACAATTACCTGGCGGATACTGGTATTTTTCGCAACCCACAGCGGTAGCAAATAGCACTTATATCTAACTGGCATTAATACCATCTCAGTCAGCTGTGCCTAACGGTCCTGCTTAGAGCCCAAAGCATTGTTTTTGTTTTGGAAAAACAAATATACACATTACAGATGTGAAATATTTTTAATTTCCAAACTGTAACAAACGCGAAAATCACAGAACTCTGTGTACTGCCTGTTGTTGGGTAATCTCTATCTTATGTGATATAAAAACCTTAAATATCTTTACTCTACTCTAATCTTAAATTATCAAAGCTTAAACTGCTTGCATGATAATTCAATATATATCACTTTGCAGTTAATCAGTTTAAAAGCCGAACTTTTGAAGAAGCAGGAAGAAGTGAATGAGAAGAAACAGCTTCCTCACAACAGAATTGAAAACTTCAAACCTCCCCCTCCAAAATCAAGCGAGAAAAACAATGATCCCTCAAAATCTAAGAAATCTTTTCAGGACAGTCTCAAAGTTATTGACACAGAGGAGTTGGAAGCTTGTAAAAAGTCTAAGTAAGTTACATGTAACAAGTTGTAAGATACAAACTATAATTTGTGTATTGTGTTGTTTAATCTAGTAATTAAAATGTAAGCTTCTGTCTTGTCGATCTATAATATCCGTTTGTATAATATATTTCCGGACATATAATTCGAGCCTCTTCGTATTTTTGTCGTAAAGGGCTAGAATACAAAAATAGTGTTATCATCGAAGAAAAAGTTTTCCCCCGGTTCTGCAATCCAAATTCCCAACAAGGACTTATGGAAAATTAAAGTATAAATTGCATAATAGTTTTGATCAATCATACATTGTTTGATCAAAACTATTATGCAATTTATTAGGGCTCTTAATACTGAAAACGCATGGTGGCTCGAATTGTGTCCAGAAGTGTATTATACTAATGTAGTTCAGGTAAAGGCAGTCAGTTACTTTACTTTGTTTACATTGGCTATGCCACTGGTGGATTTAAACCCAATGTGTTTTGTGTATGTGATAGGTAGATATAAGAAAGATACAATTCTGATCTGTATTCATTGCATTAAAGAGCTGCATTAGAGAAGAAAGCTGAGCTCTACAAGCATCTGTCAGATAGTGCAGGCAACTCGCAGCTGGCTGGTCACTTCCTCGTTGATTTCAATAGCAAGAAGCAGCAAGAGACTCCTAGAGAACGTTCTCCATCACCTGAACCTGAGATAAGAGAAGAAGATGATGATAACAGTGAATGGTAATAAAAATACGTATTTTATTCTCAAGGCTATATACAAATTGAACTAGACCATATAGACTGATGATTTTAAAGATTTTTGTCAATAAGAATTGTCGGTACGCTGTAGCGTACTACTAGTACTACTAGTTTTGTGGAGACTTTGTGCTCAATTTCCATTGGAGTTTCGGCCAGAAACTCGTGAAATTGACATTACCGTAAGTCACCCTTCCTACATACTGGCTGGGTAGGCAGGTAAAGATTTTTTCTCTGTTATCTAAGATTTTTTAACTTTATTTCTAGGACTGAATTCACTGACTGTTTGGGGCGCACACGCAAATGTCTGAAGACTGATCTACAATTGTACATGGACCAGGATAAAGAACTCATGCGAGTCATGAACAAAGAACAACGATATGACAAGGCTGTAGGCAATTCTGAGGTAAAACAGACGACAAGTTGGCTAGTTTTTAATTGGCGAAATTGCATTTTTACAAAAAAACCAGTAGCGTTTTAATAGTTATTAACTTGTGATACGGGGAATGATTTTTCAAATTTCATCCTGAAAAGACAAGATGTGTAATCATGCTTATTTTTCCTATGCAGTCTCAATAACCGCAATTTTTAAATCTTTAAACAACATTCACCATAATGCAAAAGAAGTCAGGATTTGAGCAGACTTGAGTATGATTTCAAGCACTGGAAATACGACCCTAATAGCAAGGACTTGAGTATGATTTCTAGTGCAAATCATACTCATATCATGACTTGAGCAATAAGTAGAGTTCTGGAATACGACCCGTAGAGTAGATTATTGTTAAAATGCGTGTTAGGAAAAATGTATGTATTAGTAGTTTTAAGATTATGTATATAAAAGCGAGATTCATTTGATCCCACAGTCAAACTGAATACTCAGTTTTGTGGGACTATGTATTTATCTAAGTGGAACTGTAATGTTTTTATATATATTAAATAATAACAAATAATAATAATTGGATTGCCCACATAAACTGCTGAAGGTCAATTGTGAGTGCGTTTTGCGCAGTTTTGCTAAATTTGTTTTCAGTTCAAATATGAGGGCCATTTTTGCTCTAAACTGTATACAGAGAACCCAAGTTATAACTTGGGTATTATAATTGTTTGCAGGAAACCAAGACATCAGAAAAGCCATTATTGGTCCAGAAAACAAATGACTACTTGCAATCATTGAGGGCGAAGTGGGAAGAAAAAGAAAGAGATCTCCTTTCCAAAGATAAAGATATACATTATCAGGATGTATTGTTTGATGGTGAGTCAAATAGAGATAATGGCTATAAACAGACTACATGTCTCTTTTTGATGGTAAATTTTGACACAAAACATTTTGCTTTCTTGATTTTTTGCATTGTAGCCAACAACAACAAGGCAATTAGTAAATTTAGTCCAAATCATAATAACAGCAGAACCATTATAGGATAAAAGATTTTGAATAAATTTAGGAAAAGGAATACCAGCATGGATGAGATTCTTGATAAGATGCTTTATGTTACGACATGTTGTATATTTTTGTGTGTCATGTGGCCCACAATATTCATAAATAGGAAATCAGTTTTATTTCATTGATTTTTAAGTGATGAAACCTGCTGCTGATTTATATTAGTGTCTACCTGACGAAGCATACATGCGGATTGACATTTGCAATTAATTATCCAGAAAAAAATTATTATAGTATTGTTTCTTAATAAAATGTTTATAATTGTATATTTCTGGTACAGAGGCGCGGATGCACGGTGTGGCCTATTACTCGTTCAGTACGGACGAGACGGAGCGGCGCAAGCAGATGGAGGAGCTAATGAAGCAGCGCGATGAGACGCTTAAGGCTCAGAAGGAGTCTGAGGAGAAGAGGAAAAAACGGGACGAGCTGATCGCTGCCAGAGTAGCTGCGGCGAGAGCAAGACAGCGTATGAGAGCCGGTTTGCCGCCTGAAGACCCTGAAGGTAAGCGAAGTACGGGATGCAATGGAAACTGTTACTTTTTATGTGTAGTTAGATGTAATTTGCAGAATAGAGATATTTAAACGCTAGAATTAAAAAAGAATTCCACGGATTCGCACAAAGCGTTTCGCTTCCATATTTTATATGGCGAACGGCTAAGGAGTGAAATTCCCTGCCTACAGCTGCTTTATTTAGGTGTGCATGCTACTTCCGTCGACCACATCGTCACTTTCCATCAGGTGAGATGCTGGTTAAATGCGCACTATGTTATAAAAAAAAACCTTGTAACCATCTTACTTTTGGGAAGTTCACCCGTTGCGCGTTTTTTACGAACGCACTGGATGGTAATGTTTATGGTATACCACTATATGACTTTGCTGATTTGTATAATTAACTGGCACTTTTATTTTCAGAACAAAACAGAAAAGACTTTACGACATGCCTACTAGAGTTCTTGACGCAGCAAAAGAACGAGGCCGAGGCAAAAGCTAAAGAGGAAGAAAATAAACTAAGAGAAGAGAAAGAAAAGGAAAGGCAAAAAATACGCGAGACTTATATCCGAGAGTGGGATGTCGGCAAAGACGGCGTCAACGAAAAGAAAAGATTCAGGGAGATGAGTCAAGAGGAGTATGTTGAGCAACAAAGGTCTAAAAGGGATAATGAGTTTGCGCCGCCACAAACTGCCACTAGCAGTAAATCTGACACCTTTGATTTCAAAGGAAGAAAGGTGAAATCGTCAGAAAGTAACGCGACAAGCAAATCTTGGGCTGACGTCAGGCCGAAACCGCGAACTCCACCGCCACCGGATATTAGCGACTATCAGGAACAGAAGGGACTCTACTTTTCAACCGCAAAAAACACCTTTGCACCTAAGGATTTGTATAGAAATTTTGTAAAAGCGCAAGACCCGACTCCTATATTTAATGAAGTGGAGGATCATAGTAAGAAGTTAGATGACGTGAATTTGGAAAGGCATCTAGCAGAGAACCATGCTGAAATAGCTCCTCCCCCAACATACGATTACTACGGTCCAGTGGCGAAACGTTCTCGGCAGCATGACCAAAACCCTTTTACGTCAGATTTGACGGAGGCGTATGAGCAAGGCGTTAAAAGTTTACACAAAGGACCCAGCAGTCGTAAATTGTCACAAATTTATGATTTTGCTATGGAATAAGTTAAATCAAAACATTGTTGATTAAAATAAGACACACACTTAATAATTGGGCTGGTAGGAAAATTTGTCGTCTTGCGGGACAGACTTAACGCGTCTAAGCCATACTACCAGATCTTCGATTTTTATTTGTCTTTAATAACTTGGCTTCTTGGCTTGGTTAGAATAACATAATATCAAAGTTCGTGAACCAGTGATGTATTAACACAATTAGTGTAAACTCAACCGACTGAACTATGACATATTTTAATCAGTCAGTTATTATATTACGGTAGAAATCAACTCATGTGATTCATTGATAGAATCTGCTCTACGAATAACGTCGAATATGTACATTACATACCATGTAGGTACATTAATTATTAAAAATCTTAGTGCAATTAACTGTAAAAGTGATTTATCAATGACTTAGATTTCAATGATAGGTAGTATGTTAATAAGTACTAACATAAATACGAGAAGTAATTATTATTTTGGGTTTGTATTTAAAAAATAATAATTTGCAGGACGCAGCTACAAATTAACGTCGCCCAAGCTTTGTCGATCTGTTATTCTAATCAAGCGAAATTTTACCGAGTATAATTACCTCCAATACGTTTTTATAGAAAATTGTACTAGCTCTTCTATTTCTGGGTCCACAGTAAATTGCCAGCCCTTACCTGTTGTATTGAGCGCTGGGCAATAGAAATTCAAGCCCCTTTGATCAGTAAATACTATATATGTTGTATTGTAGAGGTATATTAATTTAATTACATCCAATATTACAAACTGTCTAGAAACTGCACGTCTTTCTTTCATTTTACCAACCTTTCTTGTATTATTTCACGTTACATAATCCTTTTCTGTCTACGCAAAGTTTTAATCAGAAACGAAGTTCCTTTTTCAATTAATCGTAATCGTACATATTGTACATGAAACCTAAAACTGTGGAATTGAGTTTGGATTGTCTTTTCACAAAAAAACTGAATGGATCTTATTGCGTATAGTGTGATTATTTTTATTTATACTTATAATGATTAATTGTTATCCTTTTACAAACGAGATTTTATATTGGGTTCATTCACTTTTTTTTTTAATTTTCAAATCGTATTTTCACTATTTTGAGTTACCAGTGAAAAAAGAAATGGTTTTATTCATAGGTTTTATTTCTTTTTCATACATTAACGCCCTTGTTCATATTGTTATGCCAACAAACGATTAAGAGGCGATACTACCTTAGCACGAATTAAAAATATTCCCCTACTGAATCGTATTGCGCGTGTCGAGAGTCAGGGACACTGGCTTTATTTCAGAATTTATTTTTTTACAAACGAAACTAAAGCCATTTGAAAACGTATACTATACGTGTTCTATTAAGTTCAGTTGATATAAAAAAAATCATTGGTATATGTAAAGTACTTATTAAATACAGCAGTTTTCTTGTAAAATTTAGAGGTAAGTTTGTGTTTTTTTTTATATCGTGAAAATTTTAGGAAATGTTATCTCACACCGTATACTAACTAATCAGTACGTGTATATCGTCAATGTTACTATATATTTTTTCCAAAGTGATTGTTTCAACACTTTCACTGTTATGCGGAATTAACCACAGCCATTTAAGGTTGTATCGACCCTAAGGGTCGTATTCTAGAACTCTACTCAATGCTCAAGTCAGGATTGCACTGGAAATACGACCCTAATGGCAGGGACTTGAGTATGATTTTCAGTGCTCGCTGCAATACTCAAGTCCTGACTTGAGTATTGAGTAGAGTTCTAGAATACGACCCTTAAGGCTCAATTTACATAGCCGCGGAATGGAATTAGTAACCATAGGGTATTGAGTTTTATATCAATTATTTGCCGTACAAACTAGATACGGGCCAAAAAAGATATTTCGTGTCTTCTGAAGAGTTCTTGTGCAGTATCGGGAATTCCCGCAGCCATCGAGTCGTATCTAGTTTGTAAATCACGCTGACCGGTGTGAGGCATCGAGATGTAACCAGAACTAGAGACGAAATGTCATTTATTTTGATTGAAAATTATTCTGCTAAATTCATTACAGTGACAACTGCGCTCTGATTGGCCAGCCCGAATTCGGAACAATTGATGGCTGTCGTCAATTGTTCACTTCAAATCGACCAGTTTAACTTGAGCTTTGCTATAACGGACGAAAATTGAAAAATTACATATTTAATTGCTGATGAAATGTGATTTCGTTTGTTTCATAATTACATGTTTTGCTGTTTTTCTTTTTGAATGGATCAGCCCCCCATTGTTAGAGATATTACCTGTATTACAATAAATTCAGAATATTATGTAATATACGGAGACGTATACACAGGTCAGTTATTGACGCTGTACTATATTAGCTAGCTAATTTGTGATTTCAGCGCAAACGAGAGTTGATATTTAAAAGTGATATAAGGCCATTTGCCTGATGAGTTGCCAGGGATGGATGTCCCTTATTTCGTATTTATTTCAGGTTATATACTCGATGGCGTGAGGCCATGTTACGGTGTAGGTAAGCACGTGCAATGGGATTTTGGAGTAACGTGACATCAGACAAATGTGTCGCCAACCATCGCCAACCTTCTGATGGACTATTTAATAATACGAGAGATCGGATCAGTTTCATGTGTTTCTGACTTTATATGTGAAGAGTCCTTCAAAGTAGCATCTGCATCCGCAACCGCTGATCATCAGCATTTATTGAAATATCTGCTTCCGCATCTGGCATCCGAAATAATCGATTCAGTTTTTTGCGGATACTGATGTTTGTAGAGCGGGTTCTACGCAAAGCGCGTGCTGAGTATTAGTGCTAATTTGCTAATCAGTCAATCAGGGATTGAGATTTAACAGCGCGTGGTAAAGGAAAGCTGTTTTGTTTTCTAAACAAATACATATTTATTGAGTTTGTTTACGTTGACTTACGTTACGCTCACGGTAGTTGGGTATGGTTTGTTTGAATGTAAATTGATTTTCGTCACAGTTTTGTAAGGTTAAGCGTGAACGTTGCCACAACCTTTAATTTTTTGAATTATGAAATATTCGCATTCGCGTCCGCATCTGCAGATGTCATAACTCACCATATCAGTGGATGCTTGAAAGTTGTCAACGTCAAGAAAGCAATCAATAAGGTAAACATTCGACGGCACCTAATTAGTTAACGTAACATTATTGGTACTAACATTTTCTTTGACTGGTTAGTGAAACAAAAAACAGCTGAAAATTTTCATCAAATATTGAGCAAATGACAACCTACAAAGTAGTTGTAGTAATAGTAGTAGTAGGTATTAGTAGATAAGTGGTACCTACTTTAAAATTTGGATTGCTAAATAAAATACAATGAACATAAATAGTGTACAACTTTATCATAATTTTACTCACTGTTATATAAAAAAGGTAATTACGATAACGCAAGTGCATAATATTGAACAAAAATGAACTGTTCTACTAACTATACTTACGTATGTAAATAATGTATCATAATACACTAACATTACAATAACCTCATTATTACATAAAGAAACATAATATTGTTAACTACGTTTAATAAACATATTTTAATAAAAGTAGTATAATTTATATTATGCTTAAATTATAGACAGATATGAAAGCACACAACAGAACATGTGAGATGCTGGTGTATACTCTGAGAGCGTTATTTGTGTGTTGTTCAAGAGATCTCATAAATATTTCCAACACTTGAGCTGTGTTATTATTTAATTTGTGGAATACATTCTCATTAACATCAACTTTTTTCCATAGTTTAATTGATACGTCGACTTTTTCTTCGCTTTCTTTTTGTTGTTGTAGTTTGTGTGCTGACTTAGCCCGGCAAGTATTATTAGTCGCAGTATTTGGACTCAGGCTCTCCGTCGTTGACGTCATGAAGCTGGGTACGGGTGGGCTTGCCAAATCATGCTTTGGAATATCAAATGGGATATATGTTGCCCGTAACGTTTCGTTTTCTTCATCTGCAATGATCTGACCTAGATGTTTTTTCATTGACTTAGCTTTTTCAATATTTGATCGTTTGAAGCGATAGTTCTTAAAGGTTTTGTCGACAAGGTTGTTCAATATGTCGAATATTACCCTTTCTCGCTGAAGATCACGCACGTTGCACATATTACCTTCGCATGGACATGAAATTTTCCAGGTTCTGGTTATGTTACAAAACTCTGTGTAGCATTCCTCGCTATATATTTTGGTGCAAAGTCTTGATTCTATATGTGCTGTGGAATTAAAGAAAAATTGATACAAATGTTTCAATATCATCTATTTTGAGAATCCCTATATATTTATACCATTGCCAAAAATATTTCGAGTTTAATTCAGACATGTGGACTCTAGTTGTACATAAGTAACTTTTCCTTTGCTTGTCTGGATTGACGCTCTCAGTGACTCAACGGTTTGCTATGTGAGCTCTGGATGAAGAGGTTACGGGTTTGATTCTCGGTAGGAACAAATTGGAAAATAAACTTTTCTAAATTGGTTCTAATTTTGGAGTTCTGCAGCTCCGATGTGAATTCCGATGCTCTGGTACTAATAGTACAGGGAATTCCCTAGTTTGAGACCAGGTAATAAGTGTGATTGTTATTAGTATTTAAACATATATATTAATATTATATTTTTCTTTTCTCAGTCATTTGCTGGTTTTAACTACATTTACGCACCGGAATCAAGTAAATGTAGTATGATATGTATAATGTTGATGGTGTGTTGTGATGAGTGCCTATTTCGCCTTCTTCTATCTACATGAACTTTTGTATGTATTGAAAATTACAGTTTTTTAACCGACTGTAAAAAAAGGAGGAAGTTCTTAATTTGACCTTTTTCGCATGTTGGTTACGCGATAGCATTTCTGAACAAATTTTGATGATGATCTAAAAATATTCCACCTCTAAACTAGGGGGTCTCGCGCACTTTCCGGTAACCGATTGCAATAAAAGTTGACAAATAGATGTAATTCCACATACTTTTGAGATCGGTTTTTTAGTACTCTAAAATCCAAATAATTTTAGATGATTTAGGATAACGCCTGTTCTGGAAAGACTATAGGGCCAACATATAGACTAGCCTGGTCTAAGAAGATGTACTTAAGGTTTGAGATGGTGTAGAATGAAAACAAAAAGTGTTAGAAAATACACAATTGTTTTGTTTAGTACTCTAATAATCTGACTCTTATGTAGTGACAAATTAATTATAATTAATAATGTGGTTGTAATTAATATAAAATAGTGCAAAATATGATTTGCTTACTCTTACACTGTACTGTGGGTATGTGCATAGGCAATAAGTACGCAACCCCTTTTTTGATAGGTTTTCGTCTTTTGGTCGCATAAATCACACGCAAATATTCCTAATTTCTCGCATTCTGAAGAAGTTTCATGACGTCATAGATGGCATTGAGAGCATTCAATCCAATCTTCACGTGTATATAATGTAGGCTCTATAAAATCTCTTGGCGCCCTGGGCGCCTCCACATCTTTCTGGTAATGAGATTTTTTTGTCTCGTTTTTGGTCTTACTTTTTGTAATAATTAACTATTATAAAAAAATTGTAAAGTATAAGTACTAACCCCATTATGTTACAAGTGACCAGATTCGTGCAGTTTGTCCTCTAGACAAGCTTTTAGGCCATTTGGTACAAAGTCAATTTTCAAAACATACCTATGTTTAATTCATATCACAATGTGAAAATACCAAAAAGAATAAAGAAAAAACATAAAAAAGTTCAAACGCAGTTTTTTGGTTTTTAATATATTTTTTTATGTTTTTCCGCATAACAATAATCAATTCCTAGCACTACAAAATAACGCCAAAGTTAGTTGCATATTGTAAACAACTTCGCGGCAATATACATTGCGTACTCTTATCGGATGCGTCTTCTTAGTACCCTAGGTACTTTTCGTTATCGGCATATTCTAGCTAGTTACGTCATCTTTGACTTCTGCGTATTTACAATGTTTTTCAGTTATTGTCTTTTATGTTATGTGGGTTGCGAACAGCAATGTCACTTAGGTAAGTAACATTATCCTGTAGGTCCTGTCAGTAAGTTTGGCGCGGTCGTAGTAGAGTTTGCGTGTTGTATTTTCTTGGATAGTTAGTAGTCTGTATTTGTAGAAAGGAGTGCTTATGTCTTGTAAGAGAGCGTATTTTGACGCTTGCCTGAGTGTGTCTAAAGCCAGGTACTCACTAGCCACCTGTAACCGTAACCGTTGCATGTTATGTTACCAAAAATCATAATGTGAACATGGTATCAGAGCTTGCCTTGAGCGGAACGCGTGCGGTTCGCAATAAGCCGACGATAACTTCATCATTTTAGCAAGTGAAGACTGTTTCACGCGTACACACTAGAACCTTGTTGCTGCATCTGTCACGTTACAATTACAGCTTGCTAATGAGTACTCGGCTTTATTAATTATGTGCTGAATGGCTATTATTTTGACGATTTTAGTGGTCGTGTGGCTTGCACAACGGTTTTCATGGTGTAGCCGTCTCTGAGGTCCCGGGTTCAATCTCTGGCCGGGTCAATGTAGAAAATGAAATTTTCTATATTGTCTATGTATGGTTTTAGTGTTTGTGGTACTGTCGTTGTTTCCGATTTCCATAACATAACTGATTTAGTTAATTACTTTGACTTTACGGATCAGAGCAACGTATGTGATGTTGTCTAATATTTATTTATTTTGGATATCTATTTTAGGCTCTCGCTTCTCCCCTGGCCTAAAAGATTTATTTTGAATATTTAAATGGGACTGGTGGTATTCCTATTTTTCACCGTAGTAGTAGTGTCTATGTAGTTACTAAATAGGGATGGCAGAACTTTTTAACTGTTCTCTTTAGCACTAACATACAGTCCAGGATTTCCGGCTTGTTACGTCATATTGAAAGTGATTATACTTACGTGGAGACGTATATACCGTAGCGCAATGCGTGTATTGTTGTTCACATATCATGTGGTGGTTCGCAGCTGCTTCGCACGGCGGTGGTTTAGTGCTCTTATGCACCTGATTTGCCAGAGGTCCGCACCAGAAGCAAGTCAGGGGCCTAGAGCCAGCCGCAACTACCGTCCCCGCTGTAAAGTATAACGGTCAAATGATAAAAAGGAGAAATCGCAAAGGGGGTGTTCAGTATCCATTTACAACTGTAATGTTCGACTTCTAATGGACCCTGTCACATTCAAACTGGGCGGCAGGGCGGCGCGGTCCAGGGCCGAACGCTTAATAAACATGCGAGGGCCGGGTCCGAGCGAACGTGGGGCGGTTGTGGGTGTGGAAGTTGTATTCCATTGAGTTCTATGCAATCGTCCACAGATGCTTACACTTGTGTGTTTTTATGAAGTTTCAAGGTGAATTTGATCGAAAATCTTCTCGTATTGATATCGTGCACTCAATTTCTTTTGAATTGCTTTCGTAACGATAACAAAAACAGAAATTCTTCTTGATCACTAGCTGATAGCTATATGATGCTTTCTTTAAAATGTGTGTGTGTTACACTGGGCACCTTTGCGCCGCTGTCCCGCAGCCGCGAACTACGTTTGGGACAACTATGTGTTAACGTCCCGATATGCGTTCGTTTTCCGCTTTCCGCAGTTTTAGCACCCGACCGCTTTTCCGCGTCTGTGTGGCCTGACCTTTATAGCTTTATAGATCTAAACTGAACTGCTGATCGATTTACAACTACTTTAACTAATTACCTTCTCGCGCGTGTATGATTATATTCATGCACGAGACAAGTTACGTTTCTAGCCTCTGTTGTGATCGTCAATTATTGGGTGTTGTTGGCTACGATGTTAGCTTTTGCTATAATATGATGTTGTTAAGATACTGTTATTTCATGTTGTCGAATGTTTTTTTATCTGTCAAGTTAAAACAATACATGTTGCCTATTAGGTAAAACAATCGGAGCTAGATATTCTTCTCTTTTAATAAAATTTTCTTGTTATTCTCGTAAATTGCATTGGTTCAACATGCTCTTGTATGCTGAAAGTAAAACAAATATCCATCGCCATGAATGCATTGAAAACTTAAAAAAGCTTGTTGTAAAATACACAGGTTGTTTGTTCAGGGGAATTTGAATTTCTGTATATCGTCAGTGTTTTGTAGAAAGGATGAAAGCGCCATTTCAAAAAATTTTTCAGGGAAGCATGCTATTGTTTTTCACGGCTCTTTTAAAATATTTACGTGCTGTTTTAAATTCAATTTTAAAACTTAACCTGAATTAAAACCAAAGTTGAATTTTAAAACAGGGCGTAAATATTTTAAAACAGTCCTTAAAATCTAAAATCACCGGAATATTTATCGAAAAGGCGCTTTCGCCATCATTTCTACAAAACACTGACGATATGTCTAGATTAATTAACAATGTAAAACTGGTAAATTGCTGGCCTACGACCCGAAGCCTTCGTCAAGCCTGGCTTATATAAAATCCTGTTTCTCCAATATTCATGTATTCATGTACATGTGCAATTTTATAAAAGGAAGACTCAGCCAGTAGACAAATCTCTGGAATTTAACCCCGGAATAGGATTTAGAGTAATTCGTTCTAATCTTAAAAGGAGAAAGGAATAACATACAAAATTTTCGCTATGGGTACGTGTTCTGTATGGAACCAAACAAGTCAATTAGACAGCGGATGCATAATGCAAGCAAAATGTAGAACTACTAGAAATGGCATTAAGTCAATGTTGTTATAGGCGCGATTTAAATGCCTACCTTTAAATGTACGGACGAGGTAAGTACATTGCGACTATGCCCCGGGACTGCCATCAAATTACTACTGTTCCAATCGTGTACAGTCGTCAAATTGTTCACAATGTTGAATAGGTAGATACGTAAATGAGTATGAATATAATCAAAAGAAAGAAAAGGTGTTTTATTTTTAGGTGAAATATACCTTATAGTCTATATAAGATTTTGATTGCTATTTGGTTATTTTTTGTATTACGATATCACAAAATCTCGCGCAATTTCTTTAAAAAAAATGAACCATCTGTACTTATCGTATATTTTGGCTATCACGACATCACTGGTTAAAGTTTTTTAAGCTTTTGACATTATTCATGATCGAAGCTGCCACACCGGGGGTCTACTCTTGATCTCCGTCCGACATCCGTCCGAAACAATTACTGCCAAATAAGCAATACTTGACCAAATGAAAAGACGTGTGATGCGAATGAAGCTTCATACTGGATACTTGTCTTTTAATTTTGTCGGATATTACTTAATTGACAGTAATTGTTTCGGACGGATGTCGGACGGAGATCCAGAGTAGACCCCCTGAATCGCGTTATGACATAAATTTTTAAGACAAGTGAACAATAACCTCTTTCTTACCGAAAGTAACAAGTAAGCTAATGTTTTTTAAATTACTCATGCGTTTTTTTGAAATGCTTTGGTTTTTTAAACCATTTATGTGTTATGTCATAACGTGGGTGCAATAATCATGGTGGCTCACTGAAAACAGGAAGTCTTAGTGAAGTGACGAGGTAAATAAAGCAACTGCGTAACCTTATAGCGGTTACTTAACCAAATGGGATAAAAAGCGGTTATCTTACTACAGTACCAATTTTCTTAACTTACTATTTTACCATATTTTTGGGAATGATTTTAAAACCACGGCATTTCCAGTGATATCATTTTAAATCTCTCTGAAGTGCTTTTGTTGACTTAATGAGTTCCCCGTTGCTTTCAAGCTTGAGCTTCTGTATAATTAAAGTATTACGCTTTAAGTGGACCAAGAACTTGTGAAGTACTGAGTGTAGGTATTATTATCCACGGTTTACGGCAGCAACGGAGAATAAGCATACCTATTTATTTTAATCAAATAGATTCGTTTGATTTTTCCGTCAATACAAAAGCTTTTGGAAGTATGTAGAATGCCTATCGATTTTTGAAATAGGTATAGCCTACTAAATGATAATGTGACATTGTTTGAATACATATTCATAAACTAAATACATACTTAGTTTATGTCTATCGTGTGTATTACGTTTGGAGGCATTGTCAATTTAATTTCCCAGTCTTTTTATTGATTGGTTAATCGCACAGACCATATAGCTCTAGCTGATTAAATTGTACACGTTATAAGACGAAAATGACTATATTATGTGACTATGTCAAAGTGTATTTATGTGACTTACGATTAAAACAATTAATGGGAATCCTTTGTCTGAATTATATAATTACATCAATCACTTATATAATAATTTTATTTAAGAATAATTTCAGTACGGAGTACTAAAAAAACCGACATCAAAAGTCATTCATCCTCTAGTTTGATACCCTTAGCGGTGAAATATTTTCTTCAAATTTAAATGGAGCCACTAAATACTGAGCTACCTTCTTTCCAACAAACAAAGTATCACCAAAATCGGTTCACAAATAACATACAGTCGATTGAGAACTTGCCCCTTTTTTGAAGTCTCTTAAAAACAGAGAACATTGACGAAAGTGTATTATATTCTCCTTCTGAAGAAAGAATTTTCTTGCTAGTTTTTTATGCGTATTTTTACAAGAAATGCCATGAAAAAAGACCCAAGCACGCTACAAACTATGTCGTAGCACATGTTATACTTAGATAAATATTCATAAAAAGGTAATTAAGTGTGACAAAAGACGAATATTATGTTGTTTTGAAGGCAACGGAAATTGTGCTTGCTATATTAAGTATCACAATGTATTAAATGACTCTATCTTGTGAAAGCAAAAGGTCCCTACAAGCGACTTTTATACATTCGCATAACATCTTTTGAAGGCTCTAATTTAGACTCAAATCTTTAATTTCCAGAAATAAACACCTTTTTTAATGCCATGGTTTATAGTTGGTTTGGTAGTTTTGACATACGTCACTACCCTGATTATTATCAAGGTTTTAAGTACCTTCTTTAGGTAGAATGCAACGCATGTTGCTCAAAACTTTTTTCGTCAAAGTTCATATAGCATTGTTCGTATTGTTTATGTATATTCTTATAATAGCTTCATACTAATTGGCCACTTTTGTATTAATTTCACGAAGAGTAAATATAGAAGTAGAGTACTTGCCTATACATTCTTTCAGACTGTGAAGCGCCAACAATGTTCAAGGCGTCCAATGATTAATAAATAACAGAGAGCGTTGCGGGGCAGGCCCAATCACTTATTCAAACACTGCAGTGATTGCAGCGTGACTGCGTCCACGCTACCTGTTCGTTATGATCGTACCTGTGCCGCAAAGAGCATTCTCGGATATAATAGTCAGTAAACCCACACACCAACAGTTTTACAGTTTACCTACACCGCTTCGATTATAAGCGTTATCGTTAAATTTAAATATGAAGTGTAAAACTGAGTGTGTCTGTACATATCCACTTACTACTCTCTATACGCGAATTGCAGTATCTCGCGCTTCACGCGTAGTAGCGCCCGCGCCCTGTCATACTAGCCCTCACTCAACGGCAAATTAGTTTTCTCATACCTCGGCAGATGAAATACAACTTTGAAATCTTTTCAGACGAATAATCGTCATAGAGAGGTGGTAGACCAATAGGAAAACGGTTGCTTCTCAAATTAAGAGGGCGACGTTTCGAATCCATGTGGCAGAATGTAGATATCTATGACATTATTTTTTAAATATTTATTTTATTGAATATCATTTTACAACCAAAATATTCATTAATTTCTTGGGAAATAGTCCACTAGTTTGTTATTATTATGATAGAAAAATCGAACAAACATAAAGGAAAAATTCTTCGATCCGACTGGACCCGAACGTTGGCCAAACCCTTTGACCTGTCCTACCCGTCCAGTCATTTCAGGTCGTTCTAGGATTATCGTTCACTACCTAATTTCCGTGGCAATTTTTATTAGTTAAATATTCAAGTATATTACGATAATATTTCACGATACAATACTCGAATATTAAATAATATTGCATGTTAAAAAATCGACACACATAACAGTTAAATAATAAACATTGCTACGGAAATGAGGTAGTGAACACTTATTCGAGAATAATTTTATTTTTGTTACGTACATTTGTGAATTGAAAGGAAAACATTGTGATGAAATGTGGATGAAGAAGAGCTTTGACAACCCT